ATGTTCCAAAATAATCCGGGCTCAGTGGCTCAGCCTGTAATCCCATGCTTTGGGAGGCTGAGGTGAGTGGATTGTCTGAGCCCATGGGTTCGAGACCCTGCTGGGCAGCTTGGCGAGACCTCATCTCTACAATAAATAGAAAAATTAGATGGGCGTGGTAGTGCATGCCTGTAATTCTGGCTACTTGGAAGGCTGAGGCGGAAGGATCACCAGAGCCCAGCAGGTCGAGGCTGCGGTGGCCGGCAGCGGCCACTGCCCTCCAGCCTAGGCGACAGAGTGAGATTCCAACTCAAAAAAAAAAAAAAATTAATGGTCTATGAAATTGCACAATTTAGCCGGGCTCAGTGGCTCAGCCTGTAATCCCGTGCTTTGGGAGGCTGGGGTGAGTGGATTGCCTGAGCCCGCGGGTTCAAGACCCACCTGGGCAACTTGGCGAGACCTCATCTCTACAATAAATCAAAAATTAGCCGGGCGTGGTAGCACGTGCCTGTAGTTCCAGCTACTTGGAAGGCTGAGGCGGAAAGATCGCCAGAGCCCAGCAGGTCGAGGCTGTGGTGGCCAGGAGCGGCCACTGAACTCCAGTCTGGGTGACAGAGTGAGACTCCAACTCAAAAAAAAAAAAAAAAGTTTTTAAAACAGTTTATTAGCAAGAAGAAGTGAAGGAAAAAAGAAGATTCATGGCAGAAAGACCTGCCATGGGTAAGTTACTTGAAAAAGAAAAATCATACCAGCACAATGAATATTTATACACCTAAATCTGAATTGTACCCCACAATTTTAAAAGAAAGAAAGACCACCAAAATCTCACAATTTGTACACTGGCTTAGAGGGCTTGTAAAAGCTTCTTTTCTAATCTGAAATTTCTGCAATTCTGGGGTTTTCAAAGTTGTAAGGCCAACGCCTTGACTCAGGCCTCCTGAGGCCTCCCAGAAAAACTTCTGCTTCTTTCTCTACTTCCAGGCACAAGGAGTCTAAGATGTTTGCACTGATTATAATAATTATTATTAAATAATGTTCCAACCTCAAGAAAGGAGAACAAATCTATTTACCAATCCTCTGCTCTAATATCATTATTTGTATTTCTCGGTGGTTCTTTCTGATCCCCTAGACATTATTTTGCTGAAAAGAATAGACAATTCCTAAAATAAAATCCTTGTGGCCTAAGAGGCAGGTAGTTCCTGTTTTGTGTCCCAGCCAGAGTTGGAGATTTCAGAGGGGTGACAAGAAGTCTGAGTACAAAGAGACAAGAGAGGCTCACTCGCAGCTTCTGAGCTATCATGGAGATTTGCAAAGACACATACCCATGTGCCTGGAGGACCGTCAGTAGCATCCAGTTGGCTTCAGGCCTGTGATGACCTTTGCAGGAATGGGGAGCTGCTACTTACTCTTGCAGGCTGGCGGGCCAGAGGATTAAAGCTATATGCCAGAGCAGACGGAGCTGGGGACCTGGGGTACAGGACGGTGTGTTCCAGGCACCAGGAGGCATCAGAAATGACCATGGCCTAACAAGATGAAAGGGTTCACCCTTCATCAGACTTGCTAGGCCAAATGGAGTCAAGTTCCTCACCACATTCACTGGATGGCTTATCTAATCTCTGGTGCCACTACTGATGAACAGGAACTCCAGGCAAGTCACTTTCCCTCTCTAAGCCTCAGGCATAAATAAAATGTATGAAATAAAATTTCACTTGAAAAATGCAAAGCCGGGCTCGGTGGCTCAGCCTATAATCCCACGCCTTTGGGAGGCTGAGGTGAGTGGATTGCCTGAGCCCAAGGGTTCGAGACCCGCCTGGACAGCGAGACCTCATCTCTACAATAAATCAAAAAATCAGCCGGGCGTGGTAGCGCATGCCTGTAATTCCGGCTACTTGGAAGGCTAAGGCGGAAGGATCCCCAGAGCCCAGCAGGTCGAGGCTGCGGTGGCCGGGAGTGGCCACTGCACTCCAGTCTGGGCGACAGAGTGAGACTCCAACTAAAAAAAAAAAGAAAAATGCAGTGCCACAAGGATGGTCATAGAAGGGATTTAGGGACTTCAAAAGTCATGGTGATGTTCCTTTTCTTAAACTAAGTCCAAGGCACATGGGAATTTATTGCCATGATTCTTTACAATTTAAACATATTTTAAAATCAATATTCTTTCATCTCTATACAATAGTTAATAAAAACAAAACAGATACACAAATCCAGCCCTTTGGTAACTAGCTCTTTCTGCTGGGATCATACAAGTGGACTAGGATCTGCCAGCAGGCTGTTCCCTAACACCACAATTGTTTGTCTATATGACTCATCCTGACCCAAGTTCCAGAGTCCAGTGTCTGGGGCCTACACTCAGGGAAGGGCCACATTCCTTTTCTCCTTCCCACTAATCAGTACAAGAAAACAGAAAGGTGAATGTGGGCGCAGGCATGTTAGCACTGACAACTAATGAATTTAAACTGAATTCCTACCCACATTAAATATGTTCACCTTCGGCTTAAAGACTTCTCAAAGTTTCCACTCAAAGGTCCCAAGAACTAGGGCTGAAAGATGCTCCTGGCTGAGTGTAATGACGCACCGTTGTCAAGCCCCAAATGGGTTCCCAAGTTTGAGTGTTCCCTGCAGCATGGGTGGGGAATAGAGGGGTGGCAGCCACTGATCTCTGCAGGGGCTTCGGCCAAGCTGAGCCTGTGAATTCAGCCACACTGAACCAGCCAGCAATAGCATCTATAAGATCATCCAGGTTTCTAGAGACCCTACCCTTCTTCTTCAAGCCTCATCGCCCTAGAGGACATAATATGACTTACTTCAAGTCTTGAAAAATACGTTTATTCCAATGACTCTGGTTACCAAACCTGAATTTTTGGTCATGGAACTATGTAGGGGACTCCTCTGTAAAATTATTACTGACAATAATAACTACTATTTATGTATATTCTTTCTCAAACTTAAAATACCCATGAAAGATATTCTCCTCATTTGACAGATTAAAGAATCGAGGCTCAGAAAGGTGAACTGATGTTCCTGAGAACATGTGGCTAATAACGGGAAAGCCAGGACACAGGCTCAAGGGGGTCTGTTTCCAAACTGCTCAGCAACATAGGACAAAGGACAATCACTGAGGGAAGGAAAGCACCTGGTGTGGGAGAGACAATCACAAAAAGAACATTCTACATCCATAAGATCCACCTGTCACTAATTAAGTCATGACCACATGTTTTGGTGGCCTCATGATTTGTCACAGGCCACTCCCCAGGCTGACTCTGAGCTGGACTGGGTGACTCTTATCTGTGCAGTAAGGATGCCAGGGCCGAAGACACTGCTTCCTCCTCCCAATCAGGTCAGACAGGTCACATCCCCCAAGGCCACCACTTGCAAAAGCAGCTCTGGCTTGGCCACCCACTCAGCTGTTTGCCCACTTGTGCAGGTAGGTTTCTTGCCAGCAGCTGGTCAGTTTCACTTCCTGGTTGACACCCAGACAACTCCAAAACAAGAACAACAAAGACTCACTTCCTCTGAAGCCTGCACTCCGAGTTCATTCTTGACACCTTGCTGCACACCCACAGCAGGCAAGGAAAGTTCAACAGCCCCCTTCCACACCTCATTTTAGGAGCAAGTGGTGTTGGACCACTGACACTGTCTCCTTATTAGGGAGGCTTAAAAACTCACTCCACAAACATGTGTGAGCTTTTCTGTGTGTCAGGTTCAATCCTGGGTGCTGGGGACAGGGAGGTAAATGAATTGTGATGTCTACCCTGAAGGAGTCCCCAAATACTGACAAGAACCCGTCACAGAGGGCTAAGATACCAACCAGAAAAACACTGAGGGTCTAGGCAGCAAAGACAGGTCACCACTAAACCATCTCTGAGGAGAGGGTTAAAGTTTAGAGGGGTCGTCACAGTGGGCAGGAAGCCTAGTGTTGCCTGTTTGTTTTCTAGGAATTTTGGGGGGCAGCAGTGGGAAATGATTCAAAATCCAAGGTCTAGAGTCCTGCTGCCCAATATAGTGGCCCAACTATATGTGACTTCCTTTTTTTTTTTTTTTTTTTTTGAGTTGGAGTCTCACTCTGTCGCCCAGACTGGAGTGCAGTGGTCGCTCCCGGCACCGCAGCCTCGACCTGCTGGGCTCCGGCGGTCCTTCCGCCTCAGCCTTCCAAGTAGCTGGAACTACAGGCACGCGCTACCACACCCAGCTAATTTTTTTATTTATTGTAGAGATGAGGTCTCACCAAGTTGCCCATGCGGGTCTCAAACCCGTGGCCTCAGGCAATCCACTCACCTCAGCCTCCCAAGGTGCAGGACTACAGGCTGAGTCACCGAGCCTGGCTCCCTTTTTTTTTGAGTAGGAGTCTCACTCTGTCACTCAGACTGGAGTGCAGTGGCATGCTCACAGCCAACCGCAGGCACCACCACCATGCCCAAACAATTTTCTCAATTTATTGTAGAGACAAAGTCTCACCAAGTTGCCCAGGCTAGTCTCAAACCCTGGACTTGGGCAATCCTCTTATCTCTCCCTCCCAAAATGCTGGGATTACAGATGTGAGCCACCGCACCCAGCACATGTGGCTTATTGGATTTAAATTTAAAATTACAAATTCAGGTTCTCAGGTACATGACTGCTATTCTATTGGATTGCACAGATACAGGGCATGTCCACCATCACAGAAAGCTCTGATGGACAGCACTGGGTAGGAGTTCACAGATCTGCATTCCAGTCTCAGCCCTTCCACTTATCAGTCACGTGACCTTGAACAAATGACTCTACCTTTCTGCACCTCAGTTTTCTCATCCGCAAAATGGGGATACTTACCTCAAAGGCTGGTATAAAAATAAAAATGCTAATTAATACATAAAACAGTCTTAGAGTCACAGTGGTCTGGCACACAGTAAGTGCTCAATAAACAGCAGTTATTTTTATCACCACCAGCCTGTAGAACCTACAATCAGATAAGGTGCCTCATGCCTCTGCTCCTCTCCTAGTGCTGCCAGCAAAGCAGATTCTCAGTAAATGTCCATCAATTCTGCCCCCCTCCCCCACTGTCTCATACAGGGCCAGGCTGACACATATATGGCACCAACAGGTAGAGGCAGGAGTACTCACATCTGTAGAGATGGTTCCACACAGGGAAGAAGGCCATGTAGAGAGCCACATCACCCACCGTCGGGTAGGACTTAAAGATGGCGATGATAGCAATCTGGATGAACATGAAGAAGATAGGGTGCTCCCTGGAGCCAGGCAGGGGAGACAGACAGAGAGAAATCAGTCAGGAATCAGGTCCACCCTAGAGAGGCCCGACCCCATCCTTGGAACCAGAAATACTCCCCAGGGGATTTCAGGCTGGGCCAGGCCCCAGTAGCAGAGCAGAAAACTACAGGGACTCAGAAATACCCAGAGTGGAGAGGAGGCCCCAACAAACACTGGAGAAACAGCCCACAGAGACATTTTCCATCAACAGCCCCCCTCTGCCTCTAACAGCTCTCGGCCTTCCCCCAGGAGCCAGGAGGAAGAAAACAAATGAAGTCAGCGTTCTTTATGACTAGGCTTAAATGACTGCGTGTCAGGGTGATTAGGCAGCCTCCCTTGCCAGAGGCTCCTCTGACGGCTGGATGCAGGGCAGTAAGTATCTCCTTGCTGATGCTTCTCTGGCAAAGTGGTCAGTGGAGTTTTTAGACCATGAGAATGATGAACTCCTTTCCAGAAAGAGAGCTGAGAATTGAACACATCATTTCACCTATTATGGGCTGGGAATGGATTTCTTGTTAACTTAGACTAATAACACTTTGAACTCATAGTAAGTGACAGCAGTGGCTACCACCTCCTCTACCCTCACCTTGTGCTAAGTTCTGTGCAAGGTCCTCTTCTAAGATCACCTCGCGATCCTTACCACACCTCAACCACCCCTCAAGCTGGGCAATTCTGTCACCCATACTTCACAGATGAGGAAACTAAGGTTCAGAGAAGTGAAGTGATTTGACTCAGTTAGTACAGGGTAACGTTGCCTCCAGAGCTTCTAACCACCATCAGCACTGTTCTCCTGAGTGCTTAACTGCTTCACAGCTCTGGGGAAGACGCGTGGGGGGGTAGGCAGGGAACAGAGCTCAACCTCGGTGCCCCTCCTAGAGCTGACAGAAGAGGCTGGATCTACACCCTTCACAATTATACCTGAACCACACGCACGTGGCCTGCTTCCACACAGTACCTGAATGCCCAGTTCATGAAAGTTTCCTTCAGAGGTTAATGGCATTCTTGTCTTGCATGTCAAAAGGTCAGGGACTCAACACGTGTAAATCTGAGATGTGAAGATAAACATATACACATCCGAACACCCCGGTACTACTACATAGCCAATGCCTCTAAAACAGCTTGGCAAAGACACAGCCCTGTAGCCTCTAGGAAGCATCCAGTTAGCTCTGTGTGAACATCTTCCTAAAGACAATTCAAATCACTGGCTTCCGGTTTTTTAGGTAGTTGGCAACGATTACAAATTTCTATGAAAAGGCCAGTGAAAATGTAGTAACAAAAAACACAGAGACCGAATCTACTGTAACACTGCATGGGGAAAGAAGAGGCCCGAAGGGCCCTGTTCCCACAAAGCTAGCACTGGAAGCACAAACTACCAGAGGCTGGAGAGTTCAGATAGCGCTTCAGATAAAAGACAGAACACTGGGGAGAGCAGGTAGATTCTTATTTTTTGTCCCTACAACTGTGAGGCCTTGACTTTGGGGGGTGGGAAGGCATGACAGTAGTGTTACTACCTACCAGGAGTGATGTGTGGCCTTCTGCAAGGGAGCTGGCTGCACAGACAGTAAGGAAAGGTGCTCTGGGTTTACTCAATCAGAGCAACGGCAGTGAAGGTGAACCACAAACAGCTGAAGAATTTTCTGTCAGCCGCAGTGGCTCACACTTTTAATCCCAGCACTACGGGAGCTGGAGGAGAGAGGATTGCCTGAGCTCAGGGTTCGAGCCCAGCCTGGGCAAACTGGTGAGCCCTCATCTCTAAAATACATTTAAAAATTAGCCGACACTTCGCTTCTGCACTAGACTGGAGTCCAGTCTCTTTCTCTCTCTCTCTCTCTTTCTCTCTTTCCTCTTCCCACCAATTGCCGACGCCATCTCCACCTTTGGGGTACCCTGAACCCGGCTGGAGCTGGTCTCCAGCAGTTAAGATGAGATCTCATTGTGTTGCCCAGACTGGTCTAGAACTCCTGACCTCAGGTTATCCTCCTGCCTCAGCCCCTTGAGTTACTGGGACTACAGGGTCTTGCTATATCACTGAGGCTGGTGGGTAGTTGTGCAATCACAGCTTACTGCAGCCTCAATATTCTGGGCTCAAGCGATTCTCCTGCCTCAGCCCCCGAGTAGCTAGGATTACAATCATGCTCCACCATATCTATTTAATATTTATGGAGATTTCTACTGAGATATCTTCAAACTCTGAAATTTTTATCTCAATCATGTGTAGTCTATTAATAAGCCCATCAAAGGCATTCTTCATTTTTATTACACTGCTTTTGCTGTCTAGTACTTCTTTTTCATTCGTTCCTAGGATTTCCACCTTTCAGTTTACATTGCCCATCTGTTCTTGCATACTGTCTACTTTATCCATTAGAGTTCTTAGCATATGAATCACAGTTGTTTTAAATTATTTGATCTGAAAAAAAAAATTAGCAAAGTGTGGTGGCACGTGCCTGTAGTTCCTACTTGGAAGGCTGAGGTGGAAGGATCACCTGAGCCCAGCAGGGTGAGGCTGTGGTGGCCATGAGCATACTACTGCACTCCAGCCTGGGTGACAGAGTGAGACTCTGACAAAAAAAAAAAAAAAAAAAAACAGTCTTCGGTCAGATGCCAGGCCAAGGCTACATTCTGAGAAGAAAGCATCAGCTCTGAGGTTCTACAGAATGGGAATCATGTGCATTGGTGCATGGGCCATAGAGAATGGCAGAAGGGTTAAAGCAGAGAACTCAAGCTCTTGAAATCGAAGTCAAACTCTCTTTCAGTTTACCTGGACCATCCAGGAATATCTGTACCTGTTTTCTCTTCTCTCAAGCTAGGGAAATAGAACCATTTCCAGAGGCTATTACAAGTGGTCTCTCTTGGGAGCTTGACATGGTACAGGAGGATAAGCATAGATTCTGGAGCCAAACAAACCTGGGTCTGCCTCCCAGCTCCACTGCTTACTAGCTGTGCAACTCTAGGAAAATAATTCCACCTCTCTGAGCATCAATTTCCTTAACTATAAAATGGAAGGAATGATAAGTATACAATGCCGTAGCCATGCTCGGTGGTTCAGCCTGTAATCCCGCGCCTTGGGAGGCTGAGGTGAGTGAATTGCCTAAGCCCGCGGGCAACTTGGTGAGACCTCATCTCTACAATAAATCAAAAAATTAGCCGGGTGTGGTAGCACATGCCTGTAGTTCCAGCTACATGGAAGGCTGAGGCGGAAGGATCGCCGGAGCCCAGCAGGTTGAGGCTGCGGTAGCTGGGAGTGGCCACTGCACTCCAGTCTGGGCAACAGAGTGAGACTCCAACTCAAAAAAAAAAAAAAAAGAATACAATGTCTTTCTTTATGAGCTGACGGTTTAGATAGGATTACATTTCAGAGAGCCTAGAAAGATGCCTGAATGCTTCAAGAGGTTCAACACTCGTTAGCGCTCCTTCATTACAGAAGAGAACTCCACAGACAAACTCTTTTGAGGGAAACTTATCAGAAGATTAAACAGCGCTGCAGGTGGCTAGGCTCCCAACTAACCTATCCTGAGTTCCCTGAGTCCCCTGGGATGAATTGTCACTGGGCTGCTTATGGAAAACATAAAATCAGATTCACTTTTTCCAAAGACATTCTCTCACTGCAACACCTGTTCTTGTCCAAAATGAGCCCTCAGTAGCAATGAGGGCTCAAACACCTCACAGTGAGGTCAGGGGAATACCAGGGCTCCAAAGCACCCTCACTGCAGCCTGCACACATGCTCTTTTACTGGCTGACACTTGTGGCGACTAAGGGCAGGAGTCCTTGGGCAAGATGCTATACACCTGACGGCAGGTGCTCCCTGTTTGAAGGGCCCCCCTTCCAAGGCTACAGGGGGCAGGGGTCCTCATATAGCTCTGTAAACAAAGTAGCAGCAGATCCAAAGACTTACTTTAGCTTTATGGCTAAGGGGATGGTGTAGAAGAAGATGTTGATCTGAAACACGCACACAAAGAAGAGGCTGAAGTGCTCAAACATCTCTGCAAAGAAGTACCAGAAAAGACCAATGTTTGGAGTGAGATCTGGAACAGAAAGTCTGGAATTAAGAAAACAAAGGGAGAGAAAAAAGAGAGCAGTTATAAATTGTCTGCTTTGTCCTTGATTTCTCATGAAGACTTTGTTCACTGCTGGGCAACCGAGGATGACTTCCTCCCTACAGAGATCAGGATGGGAAGGGCTCTCCAGGTATACCGGATATAGATAATTAACAAAAACAAGGAGCAGAGACAGAGAATGATAACATATAATAAATATTAGCCATGCCTATAATCCCAGCACTTTGGGAGGCCAAGGTGAGAGGACTGCCTGAGCTCAGGGGTTCGAGACCAGCCTGGGCAACTTGGTGAGACCTCATTTCTACCATAAATCAAAAAACTAGCCAGGTGTGGTGGTGCGTGCCTATAGTTCCAGTTACTTGGAAGGCTGAGGCAGAAGAATCACCTGAGCCCAGCAGGTCGAGGATGCGGTGGCCGGGAGCGGCCACTGCACTCCAGTCTGGGCGACAGAGTGAGACTCCAACTCAAAACATAAATAAATAAATAAATATTAGTTAGGCCAAACAAATCTGAAATAAGGCTGGAATCCATCCTAGAAATCAGGAGACTAGCCCCTCTCTTATTGCCTAAAACAGTTTAAAATCAGGAGATATTCAGTACATAAAAAAAGAGGAATGAGTTTTATTTTATTTTATTTTATTTTGAGTTGGAGTCTCACTCTGTCACCCAGACTGGAGTGCAGTGCACCCTCGCCCTGCTGGGCTCCGGCGATCCTTCCGCCTCAGCCTTCCAAGTAACCAGAATTACAGGCGCACGCTACCACGCCCGGCTAATTTTTTGATTTTATTGTAGAGATGAGGGCTCACCTGCTCAGGCGGGTCTCGAACCCGCGGGCTCAGGCAATCCACTCACCTCAGCCTCCCAAAGGCGCGGGATTACAGGCTGAGCCACCAAGCCTGGCTAGGAATGAGTTTTAAACAAACAGTATCTATTTGGGGCATTCCAAAGACCTATCTAGAGGAACAAGCTGAAAGATCCTGCTCCTTCCTCCCCATTGCTGCTCCCCACTTCACAGCAGGAACCAGAAGAGAGTGCCTGAGACAGCAATGAGACTTCTAGGGGCTTCAGGAACCGCCAATAGGGTCTGGCAAAGATCCTCGGGGTCCCAGACCTCATTTGAGAAATTAGGGTCTAACTGGAAAACATTTTTTCTGGTCAAATCGGACAAAGATTTGCCATAATTCTGGCTCTCATAAAAGTTTACATTATATTTTTTATCTCAATTCACAATTTAAAAAGGAGAATAAATGGGGCATGGTGGGGAGGAAGAGACAGGCAGTGGTGCATGGTCAGATTTTCCTGATCAACTCTTCCATCTGGGTCAAGTCTTTGCCTCCTGTTGTCACTACTTTTCCTTTTCTATGCAAAGAGGTAAAGAAAATCTGTGGCCCAGCAGAAAGCAGGAAAAGCTCTTCACCAGGCATGACAAACTCCTATCCATGGTGAGCCATGAAGAGCTGAAAGTTACTAAGTCATTATAACGCTTAGTCAGGATTTAACACAAATAAGCAGCCCAGAATCCCAAATGCAAAGTCTTCCACTACAGATCCCTCCCTCCCAGATAGGTTTAAGTGTCTGTCATCCACTGTGAGCACCTCAAAGCTTGGGCAGCAACCAATCCTTCAGCACCCACACAGAGCCTAGCACCCAAAGGGCATTTGAAATGTTTGCACAAATTCATGAATATACACTCAGGCAAGACTGCAATACTCAAGCCCATTTAAATTTTCCCTAAAGGTCTGACATGGGGCAGGTGGCATTATTGTTTTTATTTATTTTTTTGAGTCAGAGTCTCACTCTGTCGCCCAGGCTGGAATGCAGTGGCATGCTCACGGCCACTGCAACCTCAACCTGCTGGTCTCAGGCAATCCTCCCGCCTCAGCCTTCCAAGTAACTGGAACTACAGGCATTTGCCCTCACACCCAGCTAATTTTATGATTTATTATAGAGACAATGTCTTGCCATGTTGCTCAGGCTGGTCTCGAACCCCTGAGCTCAGGCAATCTTCTCTCCTCCACCTCCCAAAGTGCTGGGATTACAGGTATAAGCCGCTGCGCCCGGCTAGGTGGCGTTATTTTAAAACTGTTGTGCCTCCTCTTACAGTAGGGAAATATATCTATTCCTGTTTGGAATTGAACCCAAACCCTCTACTCAGAGGCTGACAGTTGCCTTGGATGTTCCCAGAGAGGGTTTTTTAATCCCACTAGATCAAAGGTGTGCTCTAGAGCAGTGGGTCTCAAAGTATATTCCCTGAACCAGCAGGACTAGCAGCATTGGCATCACCTGAAAATCAGAGAAAAGTAAATTTCTTACATCTGCCCCAGACCTACTTAATCAGAACCTCTGGTGGTGAGCCTAGTAATCTCAGGTTTTACAAGCCCTGCAGGTGATTCTAATGCACTTTAAAGGTTTTTTTTGTTTTTTTGAGTTGGAGTCTCACTCTGTCGCCCAGACTGGAGTGCAGTGGCCGCTGCCAGCCACCGCAGCCTCGATCTGCTGGACTCCAGTGATCCTTCACCTCAACCTTCCAAGTAGCTGGAACTACAGGTGCACACTACCACACCCGACTAAATTTTTTGATTTATTGTAGAGACGAGGTCTCACCAAGTTGCCCAGGCGGGTCTCGAACCCGCGGGCTCAGGCAATTCACTCACCTTGGCCTCCCAAAGCTCGGGATTACAGGCTGAGCCACCGAACCTGGCCTAGCTTATTCTACTCAGCATAATGTTCTCCAACTCCATCCATATTGTCATAAATAACAGAATTTCCTTTCTAAGGCTGAATAGTATTTATACAGCACTTTCTTTATCCATCCATCTGTGGATGGACACTTAGGTTGATTCCATAACTTGGCTATTGTGAATAATGCTACAATGAACATGGGAGTGCAGATAAATCTTTAACAAACTGATTTCAGCCGGGCTCGGTGGCTCCCGCGCCTTTGGGAGGCTGAGGTGAGTGGATTGCCTGAGCCCGCGGGTTCGAGACCCCCCTGGGCAGCAAGACCTCATCTCTACAATAAATCAAAAAAAAAAACAAAAAAACAGCCAGGCATGGTAGCGTGTGCCTGTAATTCCAGCTACTCAGAAGGCTGAGGCGGAAGGATCGCCAGAGCCCAGCGGGTCGAGGCTGCAGTGGCCGGAGTGGCCACTGCACTCCAGTCTGGGGGACAGAGTGAGACTCCAACTCAAAAAGAAAACAAACAAAAAAAACCAAACTGATTTCAAACCTTTTGAGTAAATATACAGAAGTGGGATCACTGGATCATGGGGTAGTTCCATTTTTACTTTTTCGAGGAGCCTTCATAAAATTTTCCATAATGACTATACTAACTTACATTTCCACCAACAGTATACAAGGGTTCCTTTTTCCCACCGCTTCTAGAATTTTCTAGTGAGAAAATTTTCAAGACTATGTATTATTTCTAGTGAGGTCCTTACTTACATAAAGCCATAGACTGCGGGGATGAAGTCCCAGGAGCTGAGAAGAAAAAAGGAGAGGCAAACGATGACCACCAGGCTTCCCACATACATCATGGCATATTCCCAGGAGAAGATCCAAAAGGCTTTACTCTTCATTTTCACGGGTATGTACTGCCGCTAGGAGAGAAGACACATGGTATATGGAGGGATGTTAAATAGAAAGCAGTTATCAGCTTAAACTTAAGGATCCCTCTAGCAAAACTATGCCATGATGCACAGATTTATAGTGTTGCTTTGGTCTTTAATTAAATAAGAAGGACTTCAGGCCTAGTAACATAATTTCTAGGTATGTAGCCTGGAGACATGTTGCAGAAGATACAAATGGAGGGATATTCACTGCACCATTGTTTCCAATATTTCTTTCAACAGAGGAACAAATAAATTATGGTATAATGACATATGGTAAACCATTTAGCAGATTAAATAAATACTCTGTATCTATATGTATCAACATGGCTAGATCTAAAAAATACAAGCTTAGTTATAATAGAACATTGCCAAACAATACATACAATATAAAAATATCTATATACTTGGAGATTATACCAAACAAGACTATGTATTATTTATAGATGTATATCCATATCCATATATCTGTAAAAGTTCTCTAAAATATAGATTAGAAGGACACATACTAAAGTCATGACAGTGTTCATCTCCTGGGAAGGTGAGAGAGAAATATAATTGGAACCTAAGAAACTTCAATTTCATTTATAATATTTTCTGAGGCAGAAGGATCACTTGAGGCCAAGAATTCAAGACCAGCCTAAGCAACATAGTGAGACCCAGTTTCTACAAAAATTTTGCTTTTTTAATTAGCCAGGCATGGTGGCATGTGCCTGTATTCTCAGCTACTAGAGACGCCAAGGCAGGAGGATCACGTGAGCCCAGGAGTTCAAGGTTACATTGAGCTATGATCTTGCCACTGCACTCCATCTGGGTGACAGAGAGCTTGTCTCTTTAAAAAATATATATTTTGTATTAGATGACAAGAAAATATGAAACAATATGACAAAAATCTTAAAATTTATTTACTTTGGGTAGCAGGCATATGGTTGTTATGCTATTTTCTGTATGTTTCCTCCATTAAAAATGTTTTCCTAGGCTGGGTGCAGTGACTCAAGCCTGTAATCCCAGAATTTTGGGAGGCCGAGGTGAAAGGACTTGCCTGAGGTCAGGGGTTCGAGACCAGCTTGAGCAACTTGGTGAGACTTCGTCTCTGCAATAAATCAAAAAAATAAGCTGGCGTGGTAGCAAGTGCTTGTAGTTCCAGCTACTTGGAAGGCTGAGGCGGAAGGATCGTCTGAGCCCACCAGGTCAAGGCTGTGGTGGCAGTGAGCGCGCCACTGCATTCTAGCCTGGGTAACAGAGTGAGACTCCAACTTGGAAAAAAAAAAGTTTTCCTCAAAAAAAAAAAAAAGGCCAGCAAGCTTCGGTCTTTCAGTCATCCCAGCACTTTGGGAGGCCAAGGCAAGTGGACTGCCTGAGTCCGCAGGTTTGAGACCAGCCTGGGCAACCTTGCGAGACCTTGTCTCTACAATAAATCAAAAATTAGCCAGGCATAGTAGCGCACTGTAGCCTGTAGACTGTATTTCAGGCTACTTGGAAGGCTGAGGCAGAAGGATTGCCGGAGCCCAGCAGGGTGACCTCAGAGTGGCCATGAGTGTGCCATGGCACTCCAGACTAGGCGACAGAATGAGACTCCAAGTAAAAAAAAAAAAAAAGATACCGAGGGAAGAGAAATAATTAGAATATGTTCTAAGAAAAAGGAAAATAAGGTACAAAAAAAATTCAGTATATAAGAAAAAGAAATGAATCCAGGCATATCACAATCAATTCAAATGGACCACACTACAAAAAAACAAGTTATATATCCACATGCTATTTACGGGAGACATACCTTAAAACACAAGACATAGAAACGTTGAAAATCAAAGGATTGAAAAAGATATGCCAGGGAAACACTAAGCAAAAGAAACTATTGTGGTTATACTGTGACCAGAAAAAATAGACTTTAAAAAAAATTATTTTATTTTAAAGATGTAGTGTACAACACAGGATTAGCTATACAAGTAGTCATTATACAGGCAAAGTTCGGGCCTCCCTTTGGTCCCCACTTTGCCTGGAAAAATAGACTTTTATGTAAAAGGGTACTGCAGAGAAAAAAATGATCCATAATAATAAAAGGCTTAATTCATCACAAGAATGTAATAGTTCTAAATTGGTGTGTGTCTAATAATATAGTCTCAAAATATATAAGACAAAAATAAACTGAGCTACAAAGAAAAATAGATAAATCTGCCATCAGTGTATAACTGATAGATCAAGCAGACAAAAATCAGTAATCAAGTAAGAAAAATGAATAGCACATTTAAATAAATTAAAATAAATTTAATCCCATAAGATCTTACAAAACATACTTATACTGAACAGTATACCTAATAGCTGAATAATTCACTTTCATTTTAAGCACTTGGGGAGTATTTATACAATATCATATATTTAAATTGGGTCATAAAGCAATATAACTTCAAGGAATCTGTATGATACAGACTCCAATCACTGACTATAATGCAATTAATAGACATTATTAATAAAAAGATAGCCAGGCTCGGTGGCTCAGCCTATAATCCCACGCCTTTGGGAGGCTGAGGTGAGTGGATTGCCTGAGCCCGGGGGTTCGAGACCCGCCTGGGCAACTTGGCAAGACCTCATCTCTACAATAAATCAAAGATTAGCCGGGCGTGGTAGCACGTGGCTGTAGTTCCAGCTACTTGGAAGGCTGAGGCGGAAGAAGTGCCAGAGCCCAGCAGGTCGAGGATGCGGTGGCCGGGAGCAGCCACTGCACTCCAGTCTGGATGACAGAGACTCCAACTCAAAAAATAAAAATTAAAAAAAATAATAATAAATAAATAAATAAAAAGACAACCTAAAATTTTTTGTTGACTTTAACATACTTATCATTTACTTGTGGTGAGAACATTTAAAATCTATTCTCTCAGTAATTTTCTTTTCCTTTTTTTTTTTTTTCAGTTGGAGTCTCACTCTACTGCCTAGACTGGAAGGCAGTGGCACGCTCACGGCCACCGCAGCCTCAGCCTGCTGGGCTTAGGTAATCCTTCCGCCTCAGTCTTCCAAGTAGCTGGAACTACAGGCATGCGCCACCACACCTGGCTAATATATATATATATATATA